AAGTGGACGCTGTGCGTGCCTTACTGACTACAAACCAATTCGAAGGTAAATGTTCATAGGCAGCGATGAAGACAAAATGCCGTTCGAAGAGGAGGTCCTTAAGTAAAGCCCTTCTCGTAGCAAACAGGTGAGAGCCCCAAAATTGGAGGTCCGCACTTCCGGTCGAGGAGACGCAGAGGCCTTAATTCGTCGTCAGTGTACCCTCTACTCGAAACAAACTCTAAGTTCAGAAGGCAGAAACCAGTCTTGTCAGGCTAGCGAGCAGTTTGGCTAGGGCATTTCGTCAGAAATCTGTCTCCAAAGTAGGAACTGTTGGGCGGAACAAAACCCTATCCGAAAAAAAATGTTCGAAAAGACTCACGGCACGCGGTTACGGGCTTTTTAGTCAGTCGGAGTTACAATAATACCCACTTCGACTCTCCTATTTTCAAGTTGAGAAATGAAAGCTTCGCCCAGCATCTTAGGAACCGGGGAAAAATGATCGCACAAAGTTGTCCTTGAGGGGATGCAGGATGAGGCGGTTACGAGGAGTCACAAAATTCTGACTTACTATATGCTGCGGGCACTGCAATGATTTTTCTTGTCACGTTTGCGAGTTGGACGGGAAATGTCTAACAGTTCGTAGGCAACTGGCAGGCGTGGCCGTAATATGCCGGGGTCAGGTGAGAAGTAAAATGCTAAGGAGGGCATCACTACGAGCAGATAAGGCGTGATTTGATTGGAGCCTCATGATCCAGAAGATGTCAAAATGCTCACTAGAACTGAGATTCCGGAAACAGAAAAAAAACGAGGAAACAACAGTGTGTCAGCTTCCGTACTTAATGCTTGGACAGATGAGGAGAACTGGTACCCTGGAGGACGTAATTGAGTGGCAGTAGCATGAACGAGTGTATCACGTCCTCGGTTGGTGTGGGGATCAAATTTCAAGTCGTCGCGACCTGGTTTTGGGAGACGTCCGGTTACTGACGGGAGATGGTCAGACTGGTCTCAATCCTCTTTGTCGGCATGCCAACCAGACAAATTCCACGTATCTTGAAGCCAAGCTCTTAGTTAACGGACAGAGCAATGACATCGCTGTCCGGATTAATGCCACTCACGATGTTTTCGCAAAACCTCCACGTCGCCTACGACTGCAGCGATAACCCAACTAAAATAAAAGTCCGAGTGTACCGTTCGTCAGCCCCGTCGGTCCTCTCGGTCGATTGTGATGCTGGGCCGTGTTCTAGAATGCGAGAAAAAAACTGGCAGTTTTCGATCATCGACTCTCCCAAGTAAATTATGAGACATTCAGCTCTGACCACGACAACCTCGCGAGAATGTCACCCGCCTACGTGTCGAGTGTTGTTCTAGCTTCAACGCCGCTGTTTCACTGGAGGTGACAAAAAGGTCAGCTCAAAACATGGCTCAAATCAGTCCATCAAAAGATGGGGGTGGGTCGTCGGATTCTGGTGTTTTACCTCCAACGCAGGAGAGGGGGATGGGCTGGGTTCATGAAGTTTGTTGTCGCTGATCGTCGTGCGTTGAAGGGTAGAGCAGAGGACACCGATGGCGTCGACTTCGCCAGACACAGATAAAGAACATGACAACAGTAGTAGAAGTGGTAGTAGATGGCTAAACAGTGTAATCTTGTTGATGGTCTCCTAGCGGAAAGAAGACAGTCTCCCCTAGTCTATGACCGGAAACATTACTTAATGTGTTGGCGGGAGGCCTACGGAGGGTAATTGAGTATCAAGAGGACAGTCATTCTTCCTGTGATCGCCGTTTGTCGCGTCACGATATTATGCTCAATGTTGGGCGGGTCTGTTTATCTTCGTGGAATATGACGTCATTTGATGTCGAGTAGGTATCAAGTGCGCGGCCAACAGACTGTCGAGCCACAGGCCCAAATTTGGTTTTGAGGAGAAATCAGATTGAGATGCTCGACCAATGGGTCAGGAGGTGCCATCGATGAATAAAGATGGAAACGGAAATGAACATTTCCGATTTATCAACTATCGTCAGCCAACTATTCGCGAGCATCAGACCGAAATCCAGCTCAGTCGAAGCTTCGAGGCAAAACGGAACGCCCGTACTTCTTCATCCTGCGCCCAGATAGATGTCCAGATCCTATTTTCATGTGACACTGGATGCAGTCCACAAAAGTTCAGACGGACAATGGTCTTTTCCCACGAGAAGTTATATGCGAGCAAGCCGGCAAGATACCCCGATGAATGATAATAAAGTTCGCATCTGGAGGGAGGAGGAAAGTGAGAAAAGGAGATGGAGGTGCAAAGACGCAGAAATACTCACGTCCATGCACACGCCGATTGTGCCTCTGTAGATCCTTCTTCCATTTGTAGGCTTTCCCACAAAGTCCGCAGGCAAACGGCCGGAAATCTAGCAAGATGATTTAAATAAGAGAGTATAAAATGGTGAGTTCAGCAGGAGTGCTGTAAATGCGTTTAAATACATATCCTGCTGAGAACTATAGGACCTACCAGAGGGAGTGGATGTTGTCTGTGTGACGGACAAAATCATCGCTTTGGACCTGAGTTCGTCACCGGGCTGAGGCAACTGTTTAATCTGCCAGGTCTGTTCGGCTGCTTGCTTGCACCGCGAGTCCGATACTTGAAAGGTAGACAAATGAAACGCAAAAGAAGGCATTTAGGGTTGGACGGAGGTTCTACTAATGCCGGTATGGACTTGATTGAGATCAAGACTCTTTTAGGACCTCTTTTGGCCAAAACGGCGACGCTGACGAAGGGTGGAGCGCATAAATGGCTGAAATGGGAGAGTTCGCCAGGTGAATTTGTGGTGCCTGGGTGGCCATAGTTTGAAATACCTTTATGTTTGAACTCATGATGCTTCGTGTACTGACATAGAAAGTCATCCGAGTATCCGTTGGAGGAATATAATCTAAAGAGATATTTCTTTTCTGCCCGTATTCCAACGTATGTATATGCATATACTGGGGTGATTCGGTGTGAAAAGGTTGGTAGGAGTAAGAACTAATATGTAATGGGTGATAATCGCCCCAATTGGTAAGCCTAGTTGAAGACTGGTCCAAACTAAGGGTTAAAAGTCGGAAACTATTTGGTTTGAAAATGATCGAATAGCAATTTAGCTCATGTGATATGATAGTCGGACATACAAAAACGTGAAAAAAGAAAGTGCTGCAAAGGGCACCTACGTTGATGCACCAGGCGGCTGTGTCTTTGGAGATCCTTCTTCCATTTGTAGGCTTTATTACAGAGGTTACATACAAAGGAACGATAATCTGACCAAGAAAGAAAGAAACGCAGATTAATTACAGCGCAACTGCTGGATATAAAGCGGTGTGCAATGGAACGATTTTCCTACCAGAGGGGGTGGATGCTGTGTCCGTTACTGAGAGAATTAGGTTTTTGGTTGCAATTTCCGCTTGTGAAGGGTGCTTTGCTGACCACAGTTGATCACCAGCTTTGCATACAATTTGTGATTCCAAGACTAATAATAGAAATGATGTGGAATGTCATTTGTGGAAAATGTTTAACAGACAGCGCGCAGCGGGGCAGGAACTTACCCTGAACCTCCGGCTTGATTTGAAGAAGACCCACAGATGCGTCCACTGTCTGAAGTTTTTGAGCTGGCTGATTCAGAATGCCCATGAAATTCATTTGCCCTGCAAACTTCAAAGGTGCAAAAACAAATTCTGATGGCTGCATGAGGATGTGTTGAAGATGGGGCCACAGCAGAGAAAGTTTTCAGTTGATTCAATTGGTGTTTATACCTCTTACGTAGAAATCCTGGCCAGGCAAGAGTCAAACCTGCGTTAATGCAGCATCTAACATCAAACTGTAGTTCCATGTCGTGAAAGATTTGAAATGATTATACTTTTTCTACGAATGACAGCAAGTTTTCATAAAAGCAAGCTTAGAGTTTTACATATAACTGGTAAATTTACAGAAATAATCTGATTCTCAAACCTTACTTTTAGCTTCAACCTTTTGAGATGAGAAGAAGACTACTTTCGTAATTACGCCTTCTCTGGGGAATCAAGTATAACTACCTATCTAAAGGCCAACGGAAGGGAGGGAAACGACCGCCATAACTAAACTCTGACCTCTACAAACTCTTTGCACCAACCAACAACTAACATCACACGAAAGATACATTTATTTTGGTATTATTCTCCTCTAGGTGTTTAAGACCGTGCCAAGTGATTAAAAATTACGTAAAACTAATGCTCTTTTACTTTTAATTACAAAGATTGGGAATTTTTAACCGCAAACGCGGATAGGCTTGAATAACTGTGGGTAGATGAAAGAAACTTTACAAAAAATACTTCCGGCCCCAACAAAAGGGAGCGTGAGGTGCTATAGCAGAAAACAGCTTTGCGGAGATTTGGAGGCGAGTCGAAGTGTGGGTGGCTCAAAACTAAGTACGCTGAGTCAGTAATGGTTCTAAGGGAAAAAAACGTTTTCTTAAACGCCTCTGCCTGCTTAATTTCCGCCTGACGACCAGCATTGTCACTTAAGGATTATGCTAGTTTGACAATTGGGTTGACTTTCGTGCAGTGAAAGCTTACGCAGAGCCTATTTGTTTTCACGCTACGGAGCTGAGAAAAAATCCCGACGAAGATCTGGATATTCTGTAGGGCAAAGCAAATTTCGGCTACCCGTTACTTGTTGAGGTAAGAGTAAAAATCTGGGAGCAAGATGTGATATTTTTCCTGAGCACTACGTGTGACTACAGGGTGAATAACGCGATGGTAGCTCATAGAGGGTGAGAAAGTGCAAAGGTAGACTTGGCCGTTGTCGACATGAAGTTCGTGATAGCGAATTCAGCCGAATTCGTAAAGTTATCCTGTTGTAAAAATTATGGCATAAAGAGACTGACATAAAAAATATTAGAAGGAATACCTAGTGACATTCGGAATCTAGGTTTGATTAAAATGGACTGAGGAAATTTATCCGCAAGACTCGAAAGGCTATTTGCTTAATGTTGAGATGCTTGTTATAAACGGCCAAAGGGAGACTGTTTGGGCAAAGAAATGGCCAAGCGCACTAGGGAAGCCGACCGTTATTTATCATAGGCTATTGACAGGAACGGCGGTAAAAAGAAATATAACTGTTCTGCTGCATCGTTTGCCTAAGGTAGTCATAACGATGTCAATGGAAACTTTTTTGAGCCGAAATCAGCCAGCGTATGCGCAATTCAATCATGATAACATCGTACTTGTCTCTGTCTCTGCACCAGCAGATTAGATTGGCAGACTGGCGACCCGAATGGCTGACAGGGCAAAGTTTGCACACTTCAATGTAGCGTCTGACGCCACGAACGCCAAGCACGCGGCGTTGAGTGGATTGTGCCTACAGAAACGACTAGAAAATTCACGTAATCTCAAAACCAGCCGCAGATTAATTATCCGAGCTAGCCCTGAGTGAGTATGGTGCTGTCCGGGAAATTCAGTTGGGAACTGCGTACGGCGAACCAAGATACTTGACTGTGGCTTGTGTATGCATATTACCGGGTTAAGAGGAAAAAATGTTGCAAACTTTTTAAGAAGAACTACATGCTAAACTAACTATTATTGCTTATTATTATTCAATCCGCATACATTTGCAGATCTAGTAAAATGAAAAACAATCAACAATGCACTCGTTCCAGTTGTTAAGAAAAGGGAGGATTCACGCGCATAAGTTTATGAACAATACAGAGCACGCAAAAGGAACTTCTTCCTAGAACTGCAGATAAATAATAAAATCTTTTAAAACAAAGACAAGTACACACCATGTTTAAAATGTCCACGGACAGTTTATACGCGCTGAAAAGTATGTGCAGGCTAAGAGTCGTCTTCAGCGAAGGAATATGATTAGTTTGGCTCGTGTGAACATATCTAACGTGGGAACATAGTGTCTAATGTGAACATTTTACGGAGCGTTTCATTCTTACTAAACACCGAGGCGTTAAACATAAATGTGATTCTCTTACTGAGTCGAACAAACCCTCAGCTAACCGTTTGACTCAACTCGGTTGTATTTCGAAAGACATTTTAATGGACATACGTTAATTTTCGCTAAATTCTCTTCAGGCCTGCACACCTATATTTATATCGAAATTATTAGTAGGAAAATGCGAGCAAATAAAGTTTATTCTGTAGCTGAGGTTTTGAGGTGGGCTAGGTGTAAAACAAAATTATCGTTAATGTCGGAGTGGGGAGGAGTGTTTGGCACTAGTGCAGGTAATTATATGTAGGTGACAGACAACCATATGGTTGTTTCCGCCAACGGTTGGTAGTATTAAAAATGCTAAGCAAACTTTAAGAAGCCCTCAGATTGGGGAGGGGAGTGATAGTGGCTTGACATTATGAGAGAAATGTATCAAATCCCTGACACTTCGAAAATCAATTAATAATTTTCGCTGTCTGTGAACTGGTGTGGATCTAACCAGCACCAGTTTTGGCTTGCCACATCGCAGCTTCACCTTATGAGGGGGTCATAACAGACTAAACCGGATATACCACAGAGCGGATACCTCTGACCCTTCCATCGAAAAAAGTTCACTGTGGGACTTCGAATTTTTGTCGTCTATGCCCCGCCCTTTTCCATATTTCTTTCTTCGCCCATCTCTGTGCCAGACTTTAATGTTTCACTTTGAAGTCCCAAATCGCGGCTAGCAACCCTGCCGCACGTTAAAGTAAACATGAAACCTGCGGTGTAACAACCCCTAAGAGAGAACATAAGGGCGAAAACTAATGACTATAGGCAGTTTATTAATACAAAACGAGAACGGAAAGAAAATATAAACAGTCATAAATATAGTCCACAATGCTTTGTCAAAGTGCACAATAAGCATGGCCACTGTTATCGGTAGCGGATTCCTGCAGTACAAGAAATTCGTTGGCTAAAAATGCACATTGCTGCCACAATCGTTAAAAGGAACTACGAATAAAAATCGCATTATCTTAGTGGGACATAAACAGAAAGACCAATCAGTGAGGAACTGCCGAAAAATTAACCGCTACAATGTATACTACCTAAGGTACAATGCGCTATTACGTAGAACTGTGCGAGTATGGACAGGTTTGTTGGTTAAAAGAGGTGTAACTGAATCGGACGGACACATCATTGAATAAGTTATGGCTGCAGTAGTGCAGACGTGAAACTGAAAGTACGTTGGAAAGAATGAAAACAGAGATAGAGTCATTAGCCTCTTGATATTAATCTCTACCACCATACCTGTCTATATTCTCAAGAGACCAGCCGGTTGTACTCTTGCGAACTGCCTCTGCAATGTAATCAGAGAAGGTGGCGTTTTCATGAATTGCAGTTGAGCAAGTCAACTTTAAATTTTGACGTGTCAACGAAGAAGCCACAAAAAGGACATGGGACCAAGGCCCGATTTCCCCCTGACCCATTATAAGCATAACCTGAGCCATAGGTGTGGACCGAGGAGGACGGTCAGGAGATTCCTGAAATACTATTTTTTTTCTTTTCGCCCACCAATAACGGCTAGTTGTTTCATCGATAGCCTGTCAAAAACATATAGTAGCAACTATGTATATACCATAGCCTGAACAAAGCCAACATCTGAGTTAAGCCGAGTGGCAAAGTTGGCGTAGGGTCCGCCGGTACACAGTGACAGATTGGGCACCGACTCCCTGTCCGTTGTAGATCGGTCTGTGTCTTGAGCTGCCTTCAAAATCTCTGTACTGGCTGCTCTTTATTTGTGCCACTTCACCACAAAGTGCAAAACTATTTTTGTGAAATATTCAACTTTCTTCTGGTTGAATATCAGCAAGCTTAAGCACAGTCATGTCGGAGGGATTCTATTTCCTTGCGTACCAGGTTAAAACATTTATTTCCGTCACTTGTGCACTGTCCCGTTCAGTTCAGTTCACTATATTAAAGGAAAAAGGCGTAAACGTTTTGAGTACCCTATTAACAGCGAAAAACTGGGCGTGGTGTACTGAGAAGTTATTTGGGCTGAAATACATCAAACTAGCCCATATTGCATATATGTATGTATATCTATATGTATATTGAAGGGTTACAGGTAGAGCCCTTGATGACCCTATTTATGTACAGTGGTTTCGCAGATTCATACTCAAAAATAAAATTAAATTGCAGGCATTTAAAATGTGAGTGGGTCACAGTTCAATCGTAATCATAAGGTTGTGCATGGGGTCACTGTAAATTAGTGCGGAAGATTGTATATGACAGATTTTACAAAACTGGCTGTGCATAGTCATGGTGTACAAGCCGATTTCTGTCGAAAACTAGACGAGCAAGTTTTCTTTTAAACACACAAACTGTGTCAGCCGTCACCATCTCGCTTGGAAGCGAGTTCCACGGTCTGACAACCCGCTGGCTGAATGGCATGACAAAATCAGAGTAAGCCACAGGGAATGAGCTCGACCTATCATCGCTCTTGGTAATTTCGGAACATAAATACGTCAGGGTTATTTTTAAACTTTGAATCGCTGGTGACATCACAACATCTGCCGGAAGGGCATTTTTATGGTTTTACCACCCGAACAGAGAAGGAGAACTTCCGCACAACTAGCCTTGCCTGCTGAGCGCGCAGTTTTAATGGCTGATGTCGGATGTTGATCGAGCTGGCGAATTCGAAAAAGTCCTCAAAGGTCAGGCTACAGTCCAACAGCTTCATTATG